ACAACCCACCGCTGCACTGTCAACAGATCTAAGCATAACTTCCAGGCTTGATGAATTTGAAGCAGTTGTCTAATTTAAACTTTTTTTTCTAGTATTCCAAATAAAAGAGGAGTTTAAAGCAAGGTTCATATATCCTGCCAGCCGTCCCTCCCACCCTTAACTCACATCCTAGACCCAGTCTCTTTAGATAGAGGATGACCTGATTTAGGGGAAGCCTCGATAAAATAATGCAATAATGTTCTCAAGTTTCACTTCAAGAAATGAATTCATAGTGCTCCTTCCAACAAAAACAGTAAAACAGCATAAAAGAAAACAACAGAGGAAGTGACACAGGATCAGATTAACCAACATGCCACAGTGCTCTGCTCAGTAACCACAACATAGACACAGAATGGAGTTTATCCAAGGCGAGTACATTTACAAACTTTACTCCGGGCGGGGAGTGGGAATTATTATTGCTCTTCGAGAAAGAACTCCCAATCAGCATTAAATGAGAGCATATAAGCCACTACGTGGTGGGTCTGTTTCAAGCACCAGAGAAGGTAAAAGATTTCTTAGCCCAGGCTATTGTTCCTGCTATTTACCTTAAATAAAACACTTAAATAGGCTATCCTCAAGCAACCTTATTCCCTGCTCCTTCAGGGAGCTCTGGCATGTTTCTCTCCCCTGAGAAATCCCTGAGAGGTGATCTTCCGGGCCCTTTGCCTCCCCCATGGCTCAGTGAACTATGCTGGGACAGGAGCTGGAGGGCTCTAAACAGAAACCATCTGCTTCTCACGTGAATGTGTGGGTCCTGTCCCTAGAATCTCCTGGCCTCCTTGATACCCCCTCTTCTCTTACCTTCGGGAAGGTCGGTGACTATTGCTTCGGGAGAAATGCACACTCCGCGGTCATAGACGGGCAGCTCATCGCAGGCCAGGCTCTCTGGCCAGCTGTGGTTATACATCTTCATGAGGGGCTCGCAGTCGTCACGTGCGCGCTGGCACACAGACTTGCAGGGCTTGATGGGATCGTGCAGGAATTCCAGGGTGCAGATGGGTGCGTACATGGCACAGAGGAAGAAGCGCAGCACGGAGCTGCAGTTCACGTCAACTAGCTCCTCATACTGCTCGATGGCCAGGATGGCGTTCTCCTGAGTGCTGTGGTGCAGGTGGTTGGGCATCCGGGTGATGTTCCAGGGCATGTGCCTGCACATGGGGATGCGCACAGCCTCGCAGGGCGCTCCGCGCACTCCCAGCGCCAGGCGAAGCCACAGGCATAACGCCACCAGGATGGAGAGGAGCATGGCAATGTCCTCCTGGGCAGCAGTCCCCGCTGAGGAGGACCCTTTTCTTCCAGTCCCGCTGATCTCTTTATCTCTTTACCTGGGGGCAGCGGAATGAGCTTTCCTGCTGGAGCTCCAGTCCTCACTGATGGGGAGTTCTGGGGGTTTGGCAGTCGATCGCCCTTGGGCGCACCGGCACCAGCAGCGCCAGCACTCAGCCTCCAGAGCACCCACCCGCGCGGGAAGCTCCAGTCTGGGGCCCCGCAGCTCGGAGCGCAGCGGGCCACGGCCATTGTGGGACCCTATTTATCCAGACGCGTCCCCTGACGTGGGCTCAGCAGCCTTGGCAGCTGTGAGAGCAGAGCCGGCTCCCACTCCGCTGCTCCACCCCCAGCCACTCCAGCAGAAGCGATGACATCATCTCCGCCGCTCCACAGCCAAGGACTATAGTCCTACATTTCCCCCAAAATCCCTCCTTTTTCAGTCGGCTAGTCTTCTTTCCCTCATTTTTCCTTCAGATCAAGAAGAGGAGCATCTTGCTTTCAGTCATTTGGGACGCTGGACACAAGCCGGTGCAGGGGAAACTTTGCTAAGTCAGTCTTAAAGTTTCCCTAAGTACGAGTTGGAGCAATGTGACCCTGTGGTGTCCCTTTGAGTTTGAAACAGTTGTTTTTCTTTTCCCCTAGGGGGCGAGAAGGCCCCTCAGTTGTGAGGGTGGTGTGGAGCAGGGAAAGCAGTAGGTGTTGGAACTAGCACTGGCAGTTTATATAAGCCTTCCCCAGCCCGCCCTGACTTGTGTGGAGTTTATTATTGTTGTTGTTACTGATGTTGTTTTGTGGCTGCTGGACTTAGTTCTAGCTCAAGTTTTTACCAGGCATTTGGTTTGGAACTGCCCAGGGGTGCAAGAGCTTCTTTGTGTTGGGGGAAGTTTCTCTACTCGCTTCTTTGTCTAAAATACTAATTTCTGAGCCCAATATGCCTGGAAAACAGAAGAAAACAAAGAGTACTTGAGACACCGCATGCTGAAAGATTCTCCCATTTCAACAGCGTGATTTTTAATAAATGCCAGGTTATTTTTACTTGACTAAGAATTCCTCTTCTTTGCATTAGAAAGAGGCAGCACAATCAATCCTGGTTCACAGAAAAGTGATGTTACTGTTGTAAGTTTACACCAAATGTCTGCCAATCAGACAGCAAGACTTCTGATGTAAAGTTGCTTTCATCATTGACTATAAGAAAACAAGTTCTCTGAATGTTAATCTTTAAAGGTATGGTTGAGCTTGAAATCTGGGTTTAAGGAAGTTCTTTTGCCTCTTAAATGCTAAGACTCACAAGTTAGCTTAGGTCTGAATCTGAATGAGGATTAAAACAGTTGTGCAAAATGGAACAAAACCAAACCAAACACAACTGCTTTTGTTGTCTTTATTGTCTAAGGTGTAGAAACAAACACTATGAAGACATTAATGCTCATAACAGGTGTGACACTATTTAAAATCTGTCTAGAGTACTTATTCATACAGACCAATGGAAAAAGGTATTCTAGTTTCCTACCAATAATAGATCTCAAGTCCCAAAGGTGCCAAACCACGATAGCAAAATATCAAGCAGAGGGGGTGACCCAAAAGACAGCTCATGAATTTTCCAGTAGTGGAATCCCAAATCTAATCTAAACCCCTCAATGAGCAAAAAAGATTATCAAATTAACTTTCTAATGAGGAGAGAAAGTGAGAAAGAGAGAGTGAGCGAGAGAGACAGACACAGAGACAGAGAGAGCAAAACTTCCTACCACTTTCCTCCAAGCTAACAGAGATGAGACCCTAGGCTCATCCCAGCACTACAAGAAAACAAGAAAAGAACTAACAGAAGGAAAATGTTAAGACAGGCATTTGAGACAGACAGGTAAAGCCCATTGATTACCTCACCCCAAGTTCACTTTCAGCCTGAGGAAGATGTCTTCAGTGTTGTTTGTAACCCTATCTATCAGGCCAGTGGACAGTCAGTCTTTCCCTGTGTTTCACAGACTGTTATACAGAGCTGAGGGCCTCAGGAAATTCTTGTCAATTGTTCTTCCCCTTCCAGCCCTCCAAAAAGGCCTCCAGCTTTAGCACTAAAGCCATTGTCCCCTAGTTGAGTATTTCTCTGGTGTGAGTCCCCTTTGGGCCTTCTGTTCTTCCTTCCCTCCCCTCCTATATGACTGCTGCTTTCAGGATTTTGACCACAGATCTCACCTCACCCTTCACTTCCCAGTCTACTCCAGGTTGCCTCAGTCTTGGAACTTTTAAACTTAGCCTGGAGAGTTCCTTGGCAAATATCCCCTGGATGGGGGTGGGGTGGTATGAGTCACCATCCTCTGCACCTGTGCTGCTATGCCCACTCCCCCATCTCTATGCATTTCCCCGAAAAGACTGCTCAAGGAGAAATCCAAACTTAGGTGATAGGATGCCGAGTGTATCTCCTTGTTCCTGTTTGTGTTCCTGTTCCTGTTTTGTGGGGAGTATAAAAGGGAGTTACACAGTTGAAAATACAGCATTTGGTCTTTACCAGATGACTCCTTGTCTTTCTTTCTCTCACCCTCAGCCCTCTGCTGATCCAAGGAACTGAGTCAGCTACGTAGCTGACAGGGTGGGGTGTCAAGAATCATCCATCCACCCACCCCCAATCCCCTTCAGTGACCATCTGTATGCCCTTGGCTACCAAGCCCAAGTCATACAGAACTGTCTTTGGCTATCTCTACCTGGATATTACCCAGTCATCTCAAAGCTAACTAGCCTAACTGAAATTTACCTTCCTTTCTCAAACAGAAAGCTCATTTACCCAAATCAGAAACCTGCCTCCAATTCCAATCTTTCTCTGTATTTTCAAGCTCCATCCCACCCTACCCATGCCCAATGTCTTCACTCAGCTACTCTATGGCTTGTAGTATAGCAGCTTCTGTCCTGATACCTGCCACTCTGTCTGGCCCTGTGCTACCGAGTGAGCTTTCTAATGTACATCCCTTATGAGGTTCTTCCCTGGCTTCTTGTAGGCTGGTGGCTCCCACAGTCCTCGATATCATAACAAAACACTCAATAGCTTTTAAGGCCCTGAAGGATCAGGCTCCAGATTGCCTTCCAGATACTTGCTTGAGCTCCAATCCTGGAGTTCTTTTGATCTCATCCAGGAATGCCCCAAACCATTTCCTACTGGCTCACTCTTCTTCATATTCGATATTAAGTGGAAATGTAAATAACATTGTAAAGCAAGGGTCTTTAAAAACTTACCTCATCTCGTCTTGTTTCTATATTATTAATCCTAACATTACTTAAATGCACACACACACACGCACACACACACACGCACAAATGTTTTACTAATGTAAACCCCTAAACACACAAACCTCGCATGTAGGGATAGAGAGAGAAATCTCACTGAATTGTGACTTAGAGACAATGTAAAGGTCTGAGTTTGGGAACTGCACAGCGAACACCACAGCAATTTAGTGTCATTTTTAAGAAAGATACTATTGTGACACTTTTAATTAGAAAAAAAATCGCGATTTTCCCAAGGAACAAATTGCAGCAGCCTGAGAACATGCCGCATCTCTGCTTTGCTCCTGTTCTTCATGAAATCACCCCCACTGAGGGTTGCAGTTCTTGGAGAAAGGAGTCCCTTCTCAGCATATTCCCCCTTCCATTCCAAACCCTTTAAATGCGATGCCCTTCAGGATGCTAGTGGCATCACTGCCGCTGCGTTTCCTGTTGGCAGCAGAGAGCAGGAAAAACAAGCTTTAGTAAGCCTCTGCCAGGGCAGAAAGCGCTCTGGGGGCTATTCACGCTGCTTCCCCAGGCCGGTGTCCGGAGGTCCCAAGCCGGAAGAACGGAAAATAGGGAGAGGCCAGGGCTCCTGAGCCGGGTCTAGGAGCACACCTTCTGCCAGCGCACGCAGAGAAAACGCGCGCGGCTCGCCCACGCCGGGCCTCGGCTCCCTCCCGGGCTCGGCTGACCCTGGGGCGGCAGATCACGATGTCCGCGCGCGCTCCCCACCGCCGGGTCCAAGGGCCTCCGGGGACCTCGTTGCTGGGCGGTCTCTGGGTCTGGGTGCTTTGTGGCCTGGGGATGGCGGGCTCTCTGGGAACCCCACAGCCATGCCAGGCGCCCCAGCAGTGGGAGGGACGCCAGGTTCTGTACCAGCAGAGCAGCGGGCACAACAGCCGCGCCCTGGTGTCCTACGATGGTCTCAACCAGCGCGTCCGGGTGCTGGACGAGAGGAAGGCGCTGATCCCCTGCAAGAGGTAGGCGGCTTGGAAGGGCAAGACTGCGGCCAGGAGAATGCACTCTCAGGGGCTTGGTACTTCAGCTAGACCCCCAGCAGCTCCCAGCTCCTCCCTACTCCCAATAACTTTATAGGGGTACTTGGGAGTGGCATGGTCTGTCCAGTGAGGTAGAGGTAGGCAAAGAAAGGACTCACCAAGGGCAGAATGGAAAAGTCAGGCATTCGAAGTCCAAGTTAGCCCCAAGTCTTAACCGCTGAGTCAGGCTCCTGGCACCTGGAGTCCTCTGCAGTCTAGGGCATGTTTTTTCTAGAAGCCACCTACAAGGGACACTCAGAATATTATCTAAAATTTTTGTTTACAATGAAAACATTTTAAATTACACTGTGTGTGTGTGTGTGTGTGTGTGTGTGTGTGTGTGTGTCCTGTGTGAAGGCCAGAGGGCAACTTCGAGTCGGTTCTGTTTCACGTGGCTCAAAGTACAACAGTATAAAAGATGTGGGGAAATGATTTTTAAAAGTTCCCCCCATCCAGCTCATTACCCTATTACAATATGGCCATGTTTGTTCCCATCTTGATGATTTTCTCTTTTGAAAAACTAGTTGAAACTCCCATTAGTCCACATGTACTGTCTCCTTAAAACGTCTGTTAGATACATGTTCTGCCACCTTAAAACTGACGTTGGGGCACATACATTGCCACCTTAAAACTCCAGTTTTACTTATCCTCCTCTCTTCTCAGTTTATTAGGTTTTTGTTTTGGTTTTTTGTTGTTTTGTTGTTGTTGTTTTGTCTTTTTTGCCTATTTTTAATGACTACAGCAGTTACACAATGAGAGGGCATGCAATCACACACATGCTCACACAAATGTGTACATATTTACACATCCACACAAGCAAACAAATGGTAGTCAGTTTAGCTTTCCATTTTATGTTGATAGAGGACATACTTGTTTAGAATGTCACCTTATTTCTGGCCTCTTTAAGACCTAGTTTCTAATTTAAGGTCAGCACCTGTCTCCCTGGCCCAGCCCTCCACTGACTTCCAGCAGGTTTCATGCAGTGACACCGACTTCTCTTCATGGCATTTGCACCACAGGAGATATGATGAATGGCCATGGTGTAAGGCTCCAGTGAACAGTAAGATTGGTGGTAAATGAGCACCGTTAGCTTCCAGCACAAAACAAAGCTTGGGAATACCATTTCATCTAAAAGCATTTGCTTTTGATGTGTTGGGCTTCTTGGTTAGAGTAGGGAAAAGACAGAACTTTCTGAACCACCTGCTTAGAGTGCAAGACCACCCGTTACCAAATGCAGGAGACCCACCTTACTCTTAGATTCTTTCTGCTTTGGAGGAGTCAACAAACCATGGGCAGAAAATATGTGAAATAATATTGCTTGTACTGAGCACATACGTACTATTTTTCTTGTCACTGTTTGCTAAACAATACAGAACTTATTTTGTATAACATTTATATTATATTTGTTATTGTGAGCAACCCAGAATATATGGAAGGGTATTTGTAAGGTGCATGCAATTTTTTTTTCTCATTCTTAGATCAAGGACAAGAGAATCCATGGATTTTGTTATCCATAGAAGCAATGGATCCAATCTTCCTTGGATATTTAGGGACAGCTTTACATTAGCCTGGAAGGTGAGACACAGTCGTGTCTTTATGGAAAATTCAGAGAGTATGCAAAGACTGTCAAGAACATGAATGTTTTTCATTGGGTCCTAAGGGACATAATAATATCTGTCATTGGAGTGTGTTAATGCAGTGTACTAGTGCTGAGACTTGGCATGTTTTCTATAATTTTGTTTAGGGTTCATAACATCACAGGGTAGGTTGTATGATTTCCATTCACATAGAGACACTAAGACCTAGGGAAATTGATAAACTTTCCTTTTGTCACAGAACTGAGAGTTAAGCAAGGTGCATGGATTCTGACATCTATAATATACTATGTTCATATCCATTCATCCATCCACTCCTCATTCAGTAGGCTATTGTTCATGACCGATACTGTATCAATTATTAATGAAATGGGTCCTTATTTTAGGGGGTAATAATCTGAAGGTGGAGTCTCATAATTTAATGATCCCTATGATGATAACTAAACACCTATGATAAACACATGACCAGGGGTTCCTGGAGAAGAGGAAATCTCAAATTAGTGGTTCCCAGACACCCAAGCGAATCTACCAGGAGTGACATACAGAAAAGACTTTGTTAGGCAGCAAAAATATATATGTATACCAGGTTTAGTTGGTTGACATCTGGGAGTTTACAAGCAGGACCAATATTCTGAGATCAGCAGCCCAGTCACTATGAGGGACAAAAGCACAGTGTGCGTTGAGAGGTCATGCTGAAGGAGTCTGAACAGTTGGAATGCCATCATTAGGTGGCATAAAGATCACTAGATGCATGATTGAGATTTTGTCCTCAAAAGGTTTACACAAACTAGAGCAACACAGTGAGTGTAGAAATAAATACTCAAGAGTTCTGTAGCAGCTTCAGATGTAGAGGAAGCTGGACGGGTGGCTACATTAGGGAAGTGTTACATAGGTGATGATAGATAAGTGATCAGAGGCAGCAGGGTGTGGAGGGACAAAGAAGAGTCAAACCAGTTGACACTGTTGATACCTGGAGCTAACTGTACTCGTGGCATAGAAGAGGGATCGCTGTCTTCACTCAGAGAGGATGGAAAATGACTCTTGATATGTACTTATGAAGCCTATGTACTGGTTATCTGTTGGTGAGTAGACATGATGAACATGGGGTGGACATGATGAAGACCAACGTTCACTGTTGATGCTAACTAAGCAGTGTGATCTGGAGGAGACCAAGGCTTCTTTCTCACCCGAAGGGTATCATTACTGTTTAAGACATTTGGCTATGGTACTCAGATACACCTCATCCTGAATCTGGTTCTGAAAGTGAGCTTTTGTTGATTATGACTTTCTGAGACTCAGTTTTTTCTTTTACAAACTAGGAATATGTATAGCAACTCATCTCTTAGAAGACTATGAGGATTCTATAAGCTAAATATACAAAGCATGTGCAACATTGTCTCATAGTACTGAGAAGGTGTGTAGTAAGTGGTACCTTACTACCTACCATCATCATCTTGGTGGATTTCATTTCCCATATGCTAGAGTCTCACTGAAAGCTTCGCTGAACTCAGACACTGGATTGAGCAGCACACACAAGTATTCTCCCTCTGTGAACTGACTCAATACACAGACTCAAATACTAAACTATATTTCAGTAAGTTTTACAGCTGGCATGGAGACCAGTAGTCTCAAATCCACTGGGATAGACTAGATCATTCTCTCCTTGTATTCAAAATTATGTGAGGAGCCAAATTATGATCAGGAAGTTATGAGCAAAGAATTGGAGCAAATACATGAACAGAGGCCTGGTGATTGTCTCTTCTAGGCTCAGTTTTATGCAAAACATTGAGTTTTCCACCACAAATAAACATTTCTTCCCAGGATAATATTTAACAATTGTCAGGATGTGTGAGCTAGTTTTTTTGTTAACTTGAAACAAGTTAATGGGAAGAGGGAACCTCAATGGAGGAAATTTCCCCACCAGATTGTCCTGTGGTACATTTGATTGATTGAGGGTTAGTATGGGAGGTCCCAGCTGACTGAGGGTAGTACCACTCCTGTGATCTTGGGTTGTGTAATAAGTCAGGTTGAGAAACCCAATAATGTTTATTGGGAACAAGCCAATAAACAGTGTTCCTTCATGTTTACTACTTCAATTCCTGCTTCCAGGTCCCTTCCTTGAGTTCCTACCCTGACTTTGACGATGGACTGTTTAAAAGGAAATATAAGATAAAACAACCCTTTCCTCCCAAAATTGCCTTTGGCTGTGCTGTTTTAACTAAGATAGAAATTTATACCAGGAGTAGGGTATTGGCTGAGATAGACCTGACCATATATTTTTGGGAAGACTCTGGTAACATTTGAACTTTGGATTGGAACATCTGTTGAGTGCTTAGAGGTTAATGAGATATTGTGGAAACTTAGAACATAATGTGGAAAGCAGTGTAGACAATGGAGGCCTGGCTTGAGAAGTTCTTAGTTGAAAGTTTGAGAGTCCCTTAAAGACTCTATGGTTATTCAACTATTCAATAACAACTAAAGTGAAAAATTGCTTTGCTGGTACAATTGATATTGGTCAACTGAGGTTGAAGAATCAACTGTGATTAAAAAGTGACCAGCATTATTGAGGCAGAATTTCTTCAGAAATGTTTCCCTGGGTTCAGCTCACAGAAGCAGTGATCCAGAGGGGGCCAAAGTTGCACCACATGCTAGCCACCTAACTTGAGTTTCTCACGTTGTCCTGGATGCGAAGGCATGAAGGAGTCTTGGAGGGCAGGCTTCTCATCGTGAAAGGCCAGGAGAGGCCACTGGTGAACCTATGAGGCAAAGGTGGAGATATGGAGTCCTAAGAGGAGCCCTGGTGATCATGAAAAACATGAGTGAGTCCCAGGTGCCCCACGCTGAGATTTTTACAGTGTTGGGCATTTGCATTATTCTGGTTGTCACTGTGCCCTGGCTTCTCTTTTCTGAAAAAAGAAATATGCAACTTTGCAAAATAGGAGACCACAGATAAGGGAGTTTGGAATTTTACAGAGACTTTGGAATTTTAGAGAGATAAGAAGTATTAGACAGGCTTGGAACTTTGAAAGAGTTTTCAATATTTTAAAGACCCTGAACTTCTAAGTTGTGTAAAATTTTGAAGCCTGTGGGACTTTTAAAAACTGGAATGTTTTATATTATGATAGGGATATTAACATGACATCTTGGGGACAAATAAGAAAAGAAAGGTTGTAGTTGAATAGTGATGTGTTTGTGAGTCAAGTTGAAAAGGGTCAATTGTGCTGACTGGATTTTTTCAACTTGACACAAGCTAAAGTCATTTGATCAGAGGGAACCTTAGTTGACCAAATGCCCCCCACCAAATTGACCTGTGGGGCATTCTCTTGATTTAATGAGTGATAAAGAAGA